TATAGAGGTCTTTATCTATTATATAACTAATTAAAATATATTATAAAACTATCTATATACTAAGTAAAGTTATATAATTAGTAAATTCTAATCTAGCTAGCGCTATATATAGCTAGTAGCTTATTAGCTATGTTATATATAGTAGTATAGATAGTTATAAATCTATATAGATTTAGATTACGAATATAATTAATAATTATCTTCTTTTCTAGCCTAGTAAGTTTTTTTTAAGTTAGGCTAGTAATTATATTGAATAGGCTTACTAGCGTGTTAGTTATTAGGTATAGATTTTAGTATATTATACGCTAGCGTAGCGCGTTAAGAGCTACTTAGCTACTAGCTATTAAGAGAAAAGATAGTAAGAAAAATACTAGCTTTATTATAAGAGTATAGAGTACGTAGTAGTAGAGCTATTAATATATATAGCTTTTAGGGTGTATAAAGTTAGTAAGGTGGCCGACTCGCTTATATGGCCGACTCGCTTATAAAACACGTTATTATTTCTGAATACTATGAATTGTGTAGATTAAAGCCATTATATCGATGAGAATGAAAGAAGTGATTGCCGGAGATTCATTGACATGGCAGGTTATTCCACCTAACCTTACATCCCATCGTTAATCATAGCCTGGACCATTCTTACATGTCTGTCCGCATTCGTCTCGCTCCACTCGTTATCATAGTTTAGCCCATACGGCCAAAAATGACTACCACCACAGCTAATCTTTGCGTTAGCTCCGTCAAAGCTCCGGAGCAATGGTAATGCTGTTCTCCAATCTCCCGATGCACATTTGCTGTTGAATGCTGCTGTTTGCCCCACGCCCAATGTGTGTGAGATTTCATGCATGGCTGTGCGTTCTGTCATGTATGCACGATTCGAACCGAAACGTAGATCACCGTTGTAGTTTGCTTCGGCAGTTGGAACACCTGGTGCGTATGCGACGCGGATCGTCTTGTTGGCAGTTGCGAATTTGTGGTAGCGGGCGACGGCTTTAGTCATTGCGGTTTCGATTCTGGCGTAGGCGTCTGCTTGATCCGCGGTGGGATTGGATACTTTTGCCAGCGACCAATTAAGGCGCGCAGAGGCGTTGCAGGCATACGCTGCAACGAGAAGTAGAGACAACTTCATGATTTAGAGATGTGACTGCTTGTTTTCGGAAAGAGGAAAAACTGGAGCAATGCGATATAGCAATGCTGTAGACCTGTCGCAAATATATATAGTATCACCTGCCGATGATCGTCCTAGCCACTCGAACCGGCATTGTTATTTGGACCTTCATTATGGTCATGGGCGTGGCTAAAACGGCCGTGCAGCCTTATTAGGGAGGTGGGAGATAGGAAGTGGGCCTCTGATATCTTCCGACACACTTGGCGGGTGTTTTGTTTATCCATCCATCTGACAGGGTCACACATCCAGATATGCATGTTGTTTTTCCATAGCGATTGGCATTGCTCAATCAAAATTGGCTTGGTGTCGCGGTGTGCAGGGTCTGAAACGGTCAAGCGTCGGAGTATTGATTGCATTCAGGGATTCCCTCCCCGCTCTGAAAGACTATCATCTTGGCAAATTTTAGAACCTTGTGCTGTGTTTATGCTTCTGGAACATCTGTAAGCAATAATGATCCCCGAAATATCTTTAACGAGTCTGCTCAATGTACTACACTTGATGTGATAGTTAGCTGCCCAAGCCATCAAGAAAGTATTCGTCTTGGATCTTGTTCGGACGCGTGCTGGTGCGCTCGGATATGTACGTACGTAGTACTGAGAACGATCCTGGTAAATATTGTTGCCAACTCTAAAAGCGAGCCCACTACATGTCCTCAATACAAGTAAGTACGTCCAAGCCCGACTAATGAACTAGCTTAACTAGCATGTGTATACTAATCGTGCGTTTATCACGCATGGCTCTGAAATCATCCTTGTTAGCCTTTCTGTACCCTTGCGATAGTGGTAGATATTCATATCTACATTAGCTATTGCTAAAATAACATTATGAGCCAAGTTGGCGTTTGGTGTAACAGAAAGCATACTGTGCAAACATGTTTTGTGTGTAGTGCTAGGTACAGCACACAAATGCACAAACTAACATGTATAGTTTTTGAGCCATCGCATTGGCTTCAGCATAGATCTTGTTTTGGAATGTTGGCTGCTAAACCTGGACGTCAGAACATCCCCAAGACCACAAAGGTTGCTATGGAAAATATCAATTTCATTGCGTAATGACCGTTTATAGAGAATTTTTAAAGACAGTAGCTCTACATCATCGTGGTAACATCAAAACTTCAACACAGTTGCAACCCCAACTTGTCCAGTCTTTCATGTCGGCCTGAGCACAGGTCGTATCTGAGAACTCTCGAGGGTCTAGAGTGTCTCTGGTCTAAATACTGATAAGAATGGGCTCTAAGTCGATATGATGATACACTTACGAGTATTAAACCTTATCCTGATCGAGATCCAAATGCCCTTGCGCTATAGCCCAAAGTGATGCACTTGCCCACTTGAAAGGCGTTCTCTCGTCCATCTGCCCACCAGATCCTGCGAGCAGAGCCAACACAGTTTCCGACGTCGTAGAAGTCTGCCTTCTGGAGGTTGCCGCCAAGGTTCAAGATACGGAAAGATTGAGTGGCGGGGATATTTTGATCACGGCAAGTATTGTCCCACACATTGACGTCTTTCGCATCGCCCGTGCAGTCCCTGCCAGAGAAGGCAGTAAACTTGTAACCAAGGATTCCGGAAGAGAAACCGAGGAAAGTGACTAAGGTAGAGGTGAAGTGCATGATTATTGTTGGTGTCTCAAGGATAGTTTGATGCTAGGAACAAGATTGTAAGGATTTGGAGTGAAATGCAGTGATGATGAGATAAATGTGAACTTGTTGCTGCCTTTTGGGAGAAGGCATAGCTCATATATATACTTGAGGGTGCAAAGGCGACAGAGGACCTTGTTTGAAGAGTTACGTAACTCAATATGACATTCCCAACATCTCATTGACCACTTGGCCGTATGAATGCCGTCTCCCGAACTCGGGCTTTCTTAGCAGACATGAATATGTTAAATTTTAACCCAAAATGGTGTATATACAAACTCAACTAGTTTCTAGTGGCGATTAGTGATGACTGTGTAGAAGATCCAACCTGAGTCGTATGCCAAGCTGAGCTAAATAGGCGAGCTGACTGAGTCCGCCTCTAGTGTTTTGGTTGTGTGGCATTGGATCACACTCGTTGGTAATCAATGCGTACTTGGCTTTTCAGACAAATCCTTCAAGTAATGAACTTGTTTGAAAAAACCGTTTATGGGATTGGAAATTTGTCTTCAACCTTTAGTTGCAAGTAAATTGCCAGATGTAAACGCAGTATTCTACCTCAATGCTGCCCGTATCTTCCTGATTCAGGACTGGCTTCACTTATGATCTATGTGCTTTTCTGGTATAGTGACCTACGAGGTGAGTTGATCGAACACGATGAGTCGCCCTGCAAGCCACACACTCACTTGCACCTTCTTCGGTACTACGGCTACAACATGTACTCAGAATTGATGGATACAGCGATGATTGGGTGCGCAAAGCCTCATGTTGGTGTAAGCCACGTGTTTGTTGGAAGAACATCATCAACCTGTTCGCTTAGCTCGAAATCCTTAGGTATATGTATACGCCAATTAGCATATAGATCTGGGGAATGATCTAGCCTGGCTATTAGCTATTCCAGAATGAATGGGGTCGAATCAGCACTATTTAGAAGTAGATGCGGCTTAGATCTTGAGTCCGCAGATAGATGTGGAGCAGCCTTGACTATGATCGGGTAAGAGCGCCGAGCTTGCTGGGCAGATTCGCACCTAGCGGGTGCGTGTATCGCCACGGGCATGACATAACAATGCCTATTGGTTGCCCTAGTAGGAACACTCTAGGCATCTCTCACCTCCATATCCGGCAATATAAGGCAACCCGCAATGGGCGTATGGCACAGCAAACCTTGGCTGAGGGCCTGACCAATATGAGGCGTAAATCGAACCCCGATTCGTGCCGCAACAGGACTAGTTTTAGGTACAGGGCTTTATGGGTCTTCCGAGGCAGAAACGGTTGTACAGCATTGAAAGGTAATATCGACTGTGCGATCTCACTCACCTATGGTGGGACTCAGGCATCATCCACAACCTCAACCCAGTGGCTTTGAACTTCTCCAGGTGATCTACCAATAAGCTAGTCACGCGCAAGCAAAAGACGAGGCGCCTTGCCTACGTTGATGCAAACACATCGACCATTGTGGCCAATTTTTTCATCCAGTTTAAACCACACTGTTGTTCCCATAGCGAAAGCGTCGAGTACGCGGCCCTCTTCGACAGCATGATCAGTCTCGTGATTGTCTTTTCCACCACACTACACGGCTCACGCGAGCTTGACTCCTGCGACGAAAAACCAGTCTTAGAAACTTCTAAGATAGTTTGAACTCTGCCTCGATTCCAGGTAGCGAGATACGCGCAGCAGGTTCTACCATCCTCTAGAGGTAGGGATTGCGAAACTGTTACCCCAAAAAACCTTGGAGTTGGCGTGTTTGTGTGTTTGAATTCAACCTACTATATAAAGCCTCCCATAGGGCATGCAGACAGGTGAGACCTAAGGCTTATTCTGTGCTGCAACACCGCCTAGTATCACCTATTTGCGGAGAGTGTCTTGCAAAGCACAGTTGTCTTAAAAGGTCTGGTCCGCCGGTTCAACAGCCGCTGCCGTCTTTTTGTGCTGAGCGTACTTGGAGTTGGCGTGGTCGAATGCTAGTTTCCGAAGCCACTGACCATACACTACTGCCGGTAATATAAAGCATGTGAAAGATTCAAGTTCCTCCTACGGCCTGTAACTGGCACATTCTTATCTCCGCTTGTGACCTTGATTCTGATTCGCGTCATTACGCCAGCCTCCATCATCATCGCAGGATACCTGTTTGGGAACTTGAGCCAGTTGGGAGTCAATTCAATCCATGATGTCCCTGGCGACTACGATCTCTAGCTCCCGGATTCTTTCAAGCCTGCAGAGCTTCGTCGCATTAGAAACATCAATGTGATTAATGGTGGGTACGTTGCCGATGGCTATGCGCATGTCAAAGGAATCAGAGCACTTATCACGACATTTGGTGTAAGCGAGCCATCAGCTATAAGGTATGAACTAGTTTTGCTACAGGAATCGCGGTGAAAATTCGGAATAGCTCAGTTCTGTTTATTGCTTTGGCCAAGCTGGGCCGCATACTCCAGACCTTCAATGACTTCCTGGGGCTGGCTTAGAAAAGGCGAATGTGACCCAACTGATTTAAAAGTCGGCGCATCTTGGCCTAGCGTCTGTGCCATCTGCTGTTGTATAGGCAGCGGAAGTGCTTTGTCGTTCTCACAGAAGAAGTACATGGACAGGATCTCATGCCACGGCTCATAGGTGACTTCATCGGTGAAAATGCGCGCGGATTGGCGCTTGAGTCTTTCAATGGCGCTCCGTCGTGGCCCATCATCTACATCGTGGTAGAAGACTATCTCGGGCGTAGTGGCGTAACAGTAGTCACCCTGTACCTGACATTCAGTCCTGCTATGAAGGAGACAAGGGGACTTCTCTGGCAAATGTACGAACATCGAATTGTATCCAGGGTAAGAATTGACCGCCAAGCATGGCCTGGACAGTTGCTCCCTTCGAGGCAACGAAAGCAGCAAGGTAAACCAAGATGATGACACCGCCCTTTTTACCCACTGCCTGCCGCTGGTTGTAGCCCAACCCCTCGAGTGCATTTTGTCCGACCAGACCTCCGTATGAGTGCACGACCAGGACGATATCTTTGCCATCATCAGCAAGCCCTTCCAAGGTGGAGCGCAGCGCCACTGCGTCGTCCGCAAGGCCTTTCTTGGGAGGCTCCGCTCCTACGGACGGGTGTGCCACAGCTTCAGTTTCCCATCCGCGCTGGTGCAGTTGTTCGCGGGTGACGTCAAAACAGCCTGGTGTGTGCCAGGCACCTGGAACGAACACGATAGTAGGCGTGGACATGCTAATGGTGATATCGATTAGAACTTAGTGATCACGCGACAAAAAGACAACAGGAAGTATTGAGATTGCAGGCGCACATTGTGCAGAGTTCAATGATTTATCAAATGCCCCGGGATACCCACTTATTCTCGGTTGTAGGACCTAAAGTGGAGTTTTGGGTAACCATTCGTACGCCGCGATTTTAAAGTGGAGAGCTGATTAGAAATACAGCACCTCTACGAGTTTATCATAAGCCATGAATGATAGCAGAGTAACAAACAGGTTTTCCTTAACTCAACCGCTCCCTCGGCATTAGCCAAGTTCCCAAGTGAGTGCACGATCTGAGCAGCAATTTTAAGGCATAGGTCGAGCATGAAGTCAGCATAAATTTTCCCATTCCTAAGATTTTCACTCTTGAAACTGCCCGTGGTGTCAACAGAACAATATTGTAAATATATTGTAGAAAGGCAAGAAGGAGACAACGATAGAGGGGCCCTAAAATCGACTCTAAATTATGGATGTATATCATGGGGCTGTATCAGATATGCTATCCAAGATTGTGCTTATTTGTATAAATTTCGTTCGTGCTTGTGCACATTTCTACGCGAGACAAGATCATTCAACGCCTGGGAACGCAGAGCGGGCATGGCAAGATCATCATTGTAGGATGCAAATGCTTGTGATGGAAGCGACATTCAGCCAGAACTGGCCTAGTAACAGCAAAGATTACCGCGAGGCTCGCCTGACATTGGATAGCGAGAAAGTCTTCCTTGCACAACGCCCCCACTGTGAATGATCCAACACCCCTCACAGTAGCATGTTTAGCGATGTGAAGAAAGACGGGGCGCTGAAAATGACCAACGAGTGAGCGCAAAAGTAAACGATTTTCCGGCGCAGCGCTGTGTTTTTAAAGCTTCATGCAGTAATGGGATCGGGTTCTCCTTCTGTACACAAGAAGTCCACCCTAGCAGGCATAATTCTTCGGTACTCAACTTGTTATTTGGCAGCCTTACTTTGAATTATGCAACGAATCCAATCTATAAGTCTTTTACTAACAATACACTGCACTATGATGCTTGAATACGTAGAGTAGGTAAAGCTCTCACTACTGCCGATGTACATGCGCATCTTCCCGACGAATAACTTTTGAACCGGCGCAGATATGTTAGGGTTCGTGACGATTGGATTTGTCATCGTTATCAGTTATGTCAGCATCTTTCAGTGCAATCCGATCAAAACAACTTGGTTGGACTCTGCAATCAACGGTACTTGCATCATTCTTGAAACCTCGTTTATCGGCAATACCGTACCCAACATCTTGGCAGACATCACCGTTCTGTGAATGGCTGTTACTCAAGTGTTGAAACGTTAACTATCGAATATTTCAACGCGTGTCGCTCATTTCTATGTTCCTGTTTAGGGGGTTTTCAGTACCCTTCCACCTTCAGAGTGACTGTTTTCGTCACGTACTACGACTCAAAGTGTGATTTCCGCCAGCGCCCACTGCTTTGCAATAATCATGCGATTTGAAATGGCCCATATGATGGAAACACCGGCAACGGCGTGTACCTGGCGCGTTGTAGAAGTCGCATCTGGCATTACAAATGCATTTTTGCCCACGCTGCGTCCACTCATGCTCATCCTTTTGTCCTGATTCAGTAACATTCGAAATCGGTCCGACAAGGGATTGGCCACGGAAAAGCTGTCCAAAAGGACGGAGCTCGTTACTATTGGCAGCACAGGGAACGAACGCAACCAGGACTTTAGGCATTCCAAAGACTATTACGAGGTTCACTGCGATTTTGTTGCAAAATATACGCACGGAAGTGGTGAGGACGCGGCGTCAAGTGGTAATGAGAGACCTCTAGCTGGTGCGACATATCAACAGGAACCGAAGTCTTTCTGAAGCAGCTCTTCTTTGCCTCAACACCACACCTTTGAGTTGATATGTATAAGCTTAGAAGCTACAGCACGAGGCCATTGTATAGAGAAGGCGTGTAAGTCGCAATGTAGTGACCTGAAGTGTTGGGACTTGCGCTGGTGTTGGGGTCGTCAAAGTGCTTGGTAATGCGCATGACGAAACGCTGGTCAGGATGCTGAATGTTCGTTTTATGTTGCGCCCCCTCCTTATACCCAGGCAGTTGTTATTGCAACTTGAGCTGCACACTGTTACAATCATACCCGGAAGGGTTTTCGTTCACGAAGAAATGAAATCTGATTGGCTCTAAGAAGCGCGGCGCTGATTGGCTGTACCAAGATATTAGAAATCTCCGTATTCGAATAGCGTCTAGGCACGCGAGAATCTCCGTCAACCCAACCAGTCAGAAAAGCAGACCAACGATGAACCGAGAACAGACTCAAAAAGCCAGCCAAAAAACGAGCAAGAAAATGAGAGAGAACCCCAACCCAAAAACGGGCTAAGCAACTAGCCCTCCGCAGGAGCTACAGGGGGCAACAATCGCGCACTACAGGCGCGCCTTAAATGACATACAAGATGGGTAACTCTGACAGCCTTGCTGGCAGTTCCGAAGGAGGGGTTCAGCTGAGGCAATGGATAGATAGGGCAGATGGAGCTTAAGCCGCACCTTCCTTTGTGACCGCCAACCAGGCTGGCAGAGTTGATAATTTTAGATTTATATGATGTTGCCCATGAAAAAAATGCTTCTAATCGCGTCATTTAGTTCTTAGTGGGCAACATCCTTGTATATAATTGTCAATGTCAATATTGAGATTGAGAGACATACCTCGTCACGAGGCGGGTTCGGGAGCTTAAGCTTCTTCCGGGTGGGTCTTTTAAAAATTAGGCCATACTGCGTACATTCCTCTTCTTTATCCGTTTTGCCTGCTACAACTAAGTATTCCAGCGATATACTACGTGTAAAAGCATGGCTAGACTTCTGCGACGGCGCATGCAGAGAAGCATGTAAGAGCTTCTTCGGTCCCTGACAGCATCGGACCAACAACAGATTTCCTTCGAATTACCGTCCTCAAACGGCATCTTGGTATACACGTTAAGAGCTGTGACATGGAGTGTGCTTATATACCATATTGGGTCTATGTGTAGTCACCATTTTGGATTAAGCTACTCTCAGTCTGCCCAGGTCTCGCAACAGAAGCTTCTTCAATGAAAACGTCAACGGGTGCAGCATTCCGTCACGGGTATAAAGGTCGGCGTGTTAATTCCCGATTAATAGAGCCGGTGTTTTGAGATCGCGAACGCACTAGGCTGGTATACATCCGATTGACCCGAGGAGGCATTTTAAGGTTTGGGAATGGGCCCAGGGGCGTGTGTCATGTTGATCACAGTACTAGTGGCGCAATGGGCGGATCTAGCAACGGAAGCTTGTGTCCGAAGAGTCACGGTTTACTTACCTCAGTGAGCGTCGCAGCAAACTACTTTTGGTCAGAAGATGTTGCGGAATTATTCGGGTGTACAAGTGCATAACCATTGTTGTGGTGATGAATTCGGTCACTACTTACAAGTCTTGTCCTTTTCGCACTACGATTACGCAGATCGGATCATACCGGTAAGTAACAGGATCTACAACATCCCTGTACCCCACATGTCTTCATCGGCGAAGAATCTTATCGACAATCCTGCTCACTGTCTGCCCAATCGGAGTTTTCAATCGTGAAGCTATCAATGGTAGCTCGACCAGGGCTGCCTGCCTGCCGGAGGTTCGACGCGTGCATGGAACTCTTCAAGTCAGGATGATGCTCGGACGATCCCCTGCCTGTGCGATAAGTCGGCCAAATTTTGGCATGACTTGTGTCAGTACCACAGGTACCACTGGTAGTTAGCAGGAACGACTAGAGTGCAGTCGTTCTTAGTCGGAGCAATAGCGCTGGAAGCCTCATGTCAATGAACCACTGTCCGCGGACTCGACAAACAACTTTGCTCCCAACCCCGAGTTCCCAAACCACCTTCTCTATATTTCTTTTTAATGCTTTGGCGCCGTGCAATCGCAATTGCGCTGTGCGCCGGTGCTTTTACCTTGTCGGCTGCAGCACCAGACAGCACTTCGGAGGCATTAGCCAGAATCCCACCATGCGGAGTAAGGTCTCATTCGAAGACGTATGTACGAAGATTTAGCTGAGCAGGGCAGCTTGAATGTATCGCGGAGAAGTTGCCTCTCATCGGTTGCGGTCTTCTCGACCTTGAGTGCCAATGCGACTCCAAAAACTCGACCGCAATCCTGCAACCGTGCTTGCTGGAAAAATGCACGTTTGACGAAACGTTTGGTATGTCTATGGAAGCATCGATATCGAACATCGCTGACCTTTGTACAGAGATCCTTCGAGCGCAAGCCGATCTCTGTAATCGACCACACAATTCGCACACACGGCTTATGATGGCGACAGCATATGTAACGGGCATGATACCTGTCGTCGCTGTTGCTATGCGCTTTGCTTCACGTTGGGTCGGCGGCAATCATTTCTGGTGGGACGATTGGCTCCATCTCGTGTCGGCTGTAAGTCCACAAGCAGTAGCCGCTCTCTTCCATACTGACGATGGTTCGAGATTTTGTGCATTCCGCTCATGGTTTTCTTGATACTCAACGTTGAGGCGGGAGTCGGTAAGCATCTTTGGGACTTGACATATCAACGTGTATACGACGTTGGGCTGTGGAGTACGAATCCAAGCACATACAACCTACATGTCGTACTAACAGCCGTGCAGCCTACATCATCACCATCCTTTGGGCAGTGGAGATGTTGCTACTCAAGTACAGCATATTATGCTTGTATCTCCGCATCTTTCCGAACGTATGGTTGAAACGCGCAGTCTTTGCCTTCATGGCCTTTACAGCTTGCTTCACACTTCCCCTCATCTTCACAGCGGCTATCCGGTGCAATCCGGTCCGTGCTCAGTGGGATCTCGAAGCCGCAAAGACAGCAAAATGCCTCGACTGGCTCATCATCCTGAAGTTATCAGTAGTCTACGAGATCATTGCAGAGGTCGTCCTGTTCGCACTTCCCGTTCCGATCGTGCTCAAGCTGCAAATGGCGACAGCAAAGAAGATCGAGCTCCTCATGTTCTTTGGCGTTGGTCTGCTGTAAGGCGCCCATAATTCACTGTATGCTTACGCAACCTTTACTGACTTGCTTAGTCTCATCGGTGTGGTAAGTGCACGCGTGCCCTTCTTGGGGGGCGTTGTGGATCAAAGCGACCAGACCTACACCATTGTCGCCTCATCTATGAGTACCTTTATCGCTAGCGGCCTCGGCCACTTTTGTGCTGCAGTCCCCACAGTACAGGCGTTGATACGATTCGTCATAAATGGGTTCAAGAACAAGACTCAAGCATCTGCAAGCTATGGCCAGAGTGGTCGGTCATACGAATCAAGCAAGAAGAAGAGCTACAGGTCGTTGGAAGATAAGAAGAGCGCCGGCTCAAGCTACTCAGGCGCCACGTTCAAAGTGTCGAAGCAACGAAGCAAGGACGGCGGCAAGGACCCATACAGACTCTCCACACAGAACTTCACGATGTTTGAGTGTGATGACAACGACGTGGGTGCAGATCGTTCTATGGAGCTGCAACCAGCGGAGACCTTTATCAATAAGCACAACCCTGGCCAAGCGGGAGAATCACTGAGCCATGACGGTGGAGATCAACCCATCACCGTTGTGGTGTCGAGCTCTGTTCTTGAGGATTCAGCGTCTGACAAAGCTATACTCGACAGAGAGTACGTAAAGAGCACTTGAAATGGAATTAATGACATGGATTTATCACGCAGCCCTCGAAGGACAGGCAGAACGCAAGAGCAAGACACCGTACGTATGTGATGCCCACCTTGGTCATTATGACCCAGCCGATTATCCAACAACACGCCGCCTTCCTGCACTACACAACCAGTGCGTTTAGGTCGCCGACTCAAGAGGCAGCATAACAGGTATATCGGGCATGAGTCCCCGCATCTTGCCCAATAGAAGTACATTGCAACCCAGTGCTTACACCTGATGAGCCGATCATGCACAAGACGACCCGACAAAGACTCGCACATCCAGACAGCCGTCTTGGGCTATCACACTGCATCGCAGAACTGATGCAGCGCATTCAACCCCATATTTTATACTCCTTGACAGTACATGTGGTATTTCAACGGTCCGATTGCTGAGCGAGTAAGAGCACTAGTAGTTCGTAGACGAGCGTTCGGGGCGACGTGATCGGCCAAACACGCGCAGCATCGCCACTAATCAGCCGTGTCTAGTACTGTGTGCTCACTGTCACTTTATGCTGTAAGAAAAGCCAGGCCGGTCGGAATAGGCACATACTCGTATCTAAGAACGAGGGCAAGAATATGTACATCCGTATATCCACGGTCGCCGGCGAAGCGTCTCCAACTCGGCAGTCAGATGCGCACAGTCTCATGCCAGCGTGCAATCTCGGCCAAACTTTAAGCACCACGCACCACGCACCAGCTGTCATCGTGGCAGCGCGAAAATCCGGGGGTTGGGGGAGGGGCGCAAAGACTACTGCACGCCACGAACGCTTGGCTGTCGTGCGACGCATGGGGATGGCATACCAGTATGTGCATTTTGTGTGTCGATCTTTGGCGGTGCCATGTGCGACCATGGCATGCTGAATGTCACGTGAGCGCCGTTCTAGCTTGTTCTGGGGCAGTTCTTGGTAGGGTCGCAGGGTTTCAGCCCTAAAGGGTCCCAGGAGCCGGCCGAGGCTTTTGGACTTGCTTTCGGCTTGTTGGAGGGTCGATGTAACGGGAGACTACTACGTGTATACAGGCTGGCCCACAAGGTCGGGACCGATCCACATCTTCTTTGGTGACTGGCTGGTTAAAGTTTAATGGAAAGGAGGCTCTAGCCTCGAGACGAGCATGGGGTGTGAAGATTTACGTTCGGAGCTCTTTATAGAAGATTTTCAACAGCTATTAGTGCATGTAAACTTGGTATCCTCTATCCATTTCGATACAAAAATCTCAACTACGATCATGATACATATTGACATTCCAAGAAAGTAAATAATAAACACAGGAAGCATTAGGACTTGTTGCTATCCTGGAACCATCACGACGATGATAATGTCAAGGATACAAACTATGCTGCAACTCAACCACTACCTCAACGGGTTGTCCCACTGTGGTAGGTTATTCCATTTCGTTTCAAAGTCTTCGATCGCCTGAATAAAATCGCGATGTTGCTTATTCTCTAGCAACTGCGCGGCCGAATCGTTCGGATCATCCTTCCACTTATCTTTTTCTGCCTGTGTGGCCCATGCAGCCTTCATCTTTGGGAGGAACTTGGTGATGAGGCCATTGGTTTTGGCTTGCATGTTGGTGTATTGGCCTTTCATGTAACTGAGCCATTCGAGCTTGAGATCCTGCTTCGACCATTTTGCGTATCCAGGGCGTTGGTTAGCGGGTAGCAGGGTCGTGTCGAGGGCGTCAAGGATCTTGCCTATCCGATCCGTCTGGGTCTTCATGGTTTTCTGGATAGTCGAGTGGCTCTGGTACAAGCGAGAACCTAGCGTGCTGCGCATCTTCTGGAGAATTCCCCTGGCTTTTGCATAGTCGGCAATGTCCTTCGTCCAAGAGCCAAAGTCCCACGGATTTCCGCCCGCCCACGCGCTCGTCTTGGAAGGCGTGTTGATGGCAGACTCGAGGGCAATAAATTCGTGCTTCTCGTATGTCCTTGTCGGATACTGCGCCGCAATGTGCATAATGGGGTTCCAAGCCTTGCCTTTGCCGCCGGTCGTATTCTCGTTGGGCCACACAAAAGGAGGCACATCCCACAACTCATTGACATAGTCACAGAAGGAAACGGTGTCTCCCTGAGCCGCGCCTGGCCTTGGGTCAGGAAACTTGAAATTCTTTGCATCGAGGTGCCGGAAGAATAGGTCGATCATCTGGGCCTCAAGGACGTGTTCCGTGTGATATTGAATGCCGGCAGCGCGTGCCTGCAAGGGGCTGCCAAAGTCAAAGTTGGTGCAGTCTTCGGGATCGACCCAGCCCCAATCAAAGCCATTTAGCTGGCCGCCCGGGGGGAAGTCGCCCGATATGTCGCATGCCCGATCACAGGCCTTGACAAGCTTCTCCTTGGCTCTCTTGTCAAACATATGCGGTAATTCGCTTCCTGCATGGTGGTCATGTCCATGATTTCGTTGCTGATGAGCATTGAAATGTGCGGCAATGGCGTTTTCATCAATCGTAGACGTCGGCGTCAGCACTTCTCTCTTGTGTTTGGCATCTGTCCAAACGCCGCCCTCATTACTCGCTGCTAGGCCAGCGTATGCTTCCTTGCACGTGATGCCTTTTTCGCCGTCTTTAGAAGGGCAGAAATACTCACCGGCATTGAGAGTAAGCGCTGGGCCGTATACACCACCTCTCTTGACCAGTGACGACACATGCCCACCAGAGATATGTTTCGTGAGCAGACTGGTACCATAGCTGTGCATAGACTCCACATCGGGCTCGGAAGCTCCCAACCTTGATATGTTTCTGGCCACGTCGTCGTCTTTTGAGCGGCCTTTAACGAGGAGGTGGCCTCGATCTTGAAGACTTCTTTTGGAAGGTATTGGGCCCAGGTTGGGACAAGTGCCGCCCTTGATGATGGTCTTCTCCCACGGGTCCGTCAGGTTGACCTCACCACCAGCCCAGCCAAATGTCTTGGGCGCCGTTGCTCTTGCAAACAAGCGAGCACCGATATCGAGACCGTAGGTAAAGGGGCATGTTCCCGTGGTTGAAATGCCTGCTGCGAACTTGGTCGTTAGGCTGACCTCGCCCACGACTGCAGCGGCCGCCGGGTCAATCTTCCATTTGGGGTCAAAGCGAACACCAAACTCCGCAGCGGCCGATATCTTCAAGGCAACGTCTCCAGAGGCAGTGACTCCGGCGTAGAATTCTGGCTTTTTAATTCCCGAGAAGTCACCTGTGCGATCCAGGCTTGGTTTGCTGTTGTCGATGAGTTGGGGCTTGTAGGAATTGCTGTCGGGCATGACTTGGCGGACCTAAAAATAAGTAGGAGTAATTTAGCAGTTGTTTTCATCGTATCGGGGGCTTGAATGGAAAAGATGCAAAGATAGGGGGTTTGCTACTCACTTCCCACTTAGCAATCTCCAGTTTGGTCTCAATCAAGCCAGCCATGCCGAGCGAGGCATCAATGCTGCCCTCAACAGTGAGCTGGGGGCCTATGGTAGCGATTCCAGGAATCTTAAAAGAAGCACCGGGGAATGGCAAGTTGAGAATGACCTTCTTCTGCTCGTACGTCACGCGAGCGAGGGCCTCAAGAGTGACGACACCGGTGACCCTACCCTTGTTGTAGAAGGTCAGGTAGCTCTGTTCGAGGTTAAGGGGCAGAGTGAGACTCTCAACGATAAGGGTAAAGCCGAAGCTGGACTCGACTTCGATGTCGAGGACAGCCTGGCCGAGCAGATGACCGTCATAGTTAACACCATCTACCGTTCCGGGGCAGTCCCACGACTCATCAAATAGCTTTGCCGTGACACTGTCGTCGTACTTGTGCGTGAAGTCGCGCTTGATCTCAGGCACGACGAGGGCGGCCAGCCAGTCGAGGATGCTCTTACCGAACCAGCGCTCTTGCAAGTCTCGAGGGGCAATCTTGTCAAAGTGGAAGTCATCGCGGAATTCCTCCTCGAGCCATCGCACCGGGTTCCCGCCAACGTCCTCCAGCGTGCGCTTGGCCAACCTCTTGCGGCCATGGACGTCTCGTTTCCGGGTGGCAGAACCGGCGACAATGTTCTTCCAGTAGTCGTCTTGGTTGCTGTAGTCGATACGCATCTGCGTGTTGCCCATGTCACGCGGCACGCGGTGAAAGTCGTAGTCAAATGTCAGCTCGTAGACGACAGGCTCGAGACTGGCGAGGTGCGAGAGGTGACGGGGTAACAGCTTAACATGGTCACTGGTACTGCCTGGGGCGGGCGTCATGCTCTTTGCGACTGCATACTTGCCTGGCCCACAGCCCTTGGGCATCTGCAGAATGGTGCCTGGGACACCATGGCCGAGGCCAATTTTGTGGCAATTGCTGCCGGGGGTATGGTCGTTGCAGACCATGCGCACCGTGTGCTCGCCCTCGGAAATGGAGTCGTTGCAGTCAAAGACGTCCCAGTTGGAGCCGTCGCGTTTGTCGAGCGAGATCTGGAGCGCCTCGGGCGAGACGAGCACGACGAACTGGAAGGCTGCTTCATTGGGGTTGTCGTCGCCGCCATCCGACGTCTTGTCCGTCTTGAAGATGAAGTCGGTGTCGGAACCGCCTTCAGGCGGGTGCTCAAACAGGTTCTTGAGGTCGACGGGCAGAAAGAGAGGCTCGCCGTCCGACTCGCAGCAAAACGTGCGCACGCGTTCCAAGTGTGGGCCGCAAGTGTCGCTGCCGCCAAAGTACGAGTCGGTGATCTGTACCGTCTTCATATCCGGACAGTGGCCGTCAAAGCAGTTACCGGGTTTTCCATACCACGCACAGTTTTTCCACTTGGAAACCTCCTTCTCAGGGCAGCAGTACAGCTTCTTGGTGTCAATATCCAGCTCCTCGAGAACCTCGACCAGAAGTAATCCCGTAAGCGCTGCTAGCGGGTACGCGCGACCGACAATACGCAAGATAATCTTGGCTACGTCATCGAGGATGTCGAGGACGGTGCCGGAGAAGGTCAAGGGCAGTTCACCACTGTGGCACTTTTCGCCCACGCCTCGCCACTTGCACACGTTCTTCTCTCCCAACGAACTTTCGCAGCAGTGCGCCATCTGGCCATCCAAGCAGTCGTGGCCGCCGCCGTACTTGCTCATATGCGTCATGACCTCGTCGTCCTTACAATAACCATTACACCATCTCGTCGCCCCTCCACGCCATGTGCACGACCTGGGGTCAGGCGCTCCCGACAAGGGACAGCAGAGAGCACTCTTCTGTTTCTTGCCGCACTTTTGGTCAGTAATCTTGATCTCTCCAGACGGGCAGTAGTCAACGCCGCACTTTGTAATGTAGCACATGTCGTTGGTACCCGTCCAGTTCTCGTCTCCTTTGTCGATCGATTTGAAATCACCCAAGGGCTTGGGGTCTAGGACCGCAGCCAGTGCAGTCATCTCAGCGTCGTCCTGGTCAATGGCCCAAATCAGGTAGCCTCCGAGGCCCAGCTTGGCCGCCAGATCCTTCTTCTGTTTGAACGTCTCCTTGTCATCAAAAGACACCCACTGGTCAGTATTCCATGTAATGTACTTGACACCAGCCTTCTTGTCATGGATTGGCTTGATCTTGTTGTTTTTGATAACTTCTTGGATCTCGCGGTAACTCAGAATGCCAGACTCGCCGCTGCACGCTCCCTTGGTTGCACCTCCCTTGAAGAGACAGCCGGGCTTGTTGCAAGACGGATCCGCCAGCTGGAATGCACGACCATAGAATCCGAGACCCATATTTAGCTTGTTTGCTGGGACTTCATTTCTCCAGAAGAGGTCAAACGCCAGGCTCATCTCCGTCAGGTTGGTGTGGCCGTAAATATGAGAACCAATCGGGTTTTCACGATCCCATACACCATGAAGACTGGTCGTGCCGTTAGTTGGTATTTAAAGAGATGAAGAAGAAAATCACTTACTCGTATGACATGACGTTGACAAAGTCGGTATACTCAACCGACTTGAGATCAAAGTGGCGCAGATACCAGAAGCTCGTCGGAGCTGTGTACGACACAATGTACTTGACGGGCTGCTTCTTGTTCTCCTCCTGAAGCTCCTTTAGGAATTGGGTAAAGTTCACGCCGTCTTCGGGGACACCGCCGCGATCATCCGCACCGGGGTACTCCCAGTCAAAGTCAACGCCATCAAAAGCGTACATGCGAAGGAACGACATGAGGTTGCCAATGAACTTGGACCGGTTCGCTTTGGTACTGACCATGTTGCTGAACACCTTCTGCAGAGGGCCCGGGTCGTTGTGCGTCCATCCGCCAATGGCAATGATCATTTTGAGGGCAGGGTTCTTCTTCTTGAGGTTGGTGAAGTCTGTAAACAGCTTATCGGGCAGATTGTCCATGCCGACGATCTGAAAGTCCGGCTGGATGAAAGCAAAAGAGAAATAGAGGTGAGTTAGCGAGTTGACGGGGATGTCGTCCAAGCCCTATATCTCACGGTCAGTCAGACAAACACGATGTTGGGTAGTATGGTGCAATTACCATATCCTGGCATTTGGAGTCGCGTCTCCATGCCTCATAATATCCAATAACACGGTTGAGCTGAGCAGAAGCCTTTTTCTTGGGACCTGGCTGATCGCAGTTGGACTGGCAACCGCCAGTAGCTCCGTGGTCCTCTTTATCACAGAAGTCCCTGTTTTGTCCAATCGTCAATGCTGGCCTACATCGCCGGCATATTCATGTTTTGGAAATGTACATACTTTGTCATCCCGCAGAAACCCCACTTGCCGCAGCAGACATTTAGAGGGCACTTTTGGCCAGGGATAGCTGCGTTCTTGCCGCATTCCGCTTTGGCGTTGCAGTTGGACCAACACACCTCATTGGGAGAGATTCCTGATGTACCGCAGGCTCTATACGGAGAGAAGAGAGTATCAGCCAGATTCCAGAACAACATGACATAAATAAAGATGATCACAGTGAGAGCAAGAAAAACACATTTTCCAACGAGCCAAACGACAGAAAGGAGGGGGAAAGGATACGCACTTCTCGCCATAGTTACACTGGCCAGTTGCCTTGGGACAGCATGCCTTGTTCTTGCAAGGGCGGTCGGGGCCGCAGGTATAATCGTCGCCACCGACTACTTGTCTCCCAAAAAGAGAAGAGAGTTCAGTACGTCCGATCAAGGAAACGCCGGTTTCGAGTGATGCCGGGATGATTTCGCGCCCATTGGCGTCATTGTTGTCGCGAGCAACGACGAGACCAGAGCTGTCGGCACTGCAGACCGGCAGCTCGTGGTCACGACGATACTTAGCCGAATAATCGAAGGGCCTGGAGTTTTGCGATGGCGAGTCAGCAGAATGAACTTTACTGGTCCAGGTTCCGGGACATGGCTGAGAGAAATCTACTTACGAGATTACAGCGCGACAAGCGCCTGGGATTTCGGGTACTCTAACCGCGTTGGCGCTACCAGGCTTTGCTGTGATGACTGCTCCAAGAGAAGGTGTAATGAGAGTAGAAAGAAGCATACAGCTCCATGAGAGCCGGGACCATGGTCCCATAGTTGCGTTCAGGGCTGAGCTTTTGGGGACTCTGCCCAACAATAGAAACGATAATGATGATCAAAGGAATGTGGTCCCCAATGAGGGGATTAAAGAGTTTACAAGAAAACAAGGAGAAAGAGCGTCTGCAAGGGCAAGAAACAAAGTCAGCTGCCGGATATCTATAGAGACAAGTCGGCCGAAAAGAGAGAAGATGCCGCGGAGTATCGTGTAGTAAAAGCGCCTGGCTGGTGATCTGGAGCAACCCGGCCCCCAACCTCAATCTTGATATTCATACTAAATTTCCCTGCCCTACATGTGCCAAAGGCCATGCTGGGGCCCAGGAGGCGAGGCCTCGGCTTTACTGTATTCTGGTGCTAGGCAAGGGCTGGGAAGTATCGAATGTCGATGGCAAAAAGGTGATTTTCCTACTTTTCCATTCAGCTGCTCGCAGGGAACCGCCAAGCAATTCCTCTTTGGGAGAAAGGGTCGTGTCATATTGAGTTTTCATCTGATATGGTGCTTACTGATGGGGGTTAGAAAGAGCAAAAAGCGGGCCGCTTCATTACCCCTGCATGAACCCTGCATGAACCCTGAGAGCACAAGCAAGAGAAAGCCTTGTCTCGGCGACAACCGTCCCGTACCGACCGTAACAGGCCAGCGGTTCGCCTAACGCTAGACTTAAAAAATGGAGATGAAGCTGGCCGAAATCACTGCGTAGTTGCACGCCTTACACAGAAGCGAGATAACCCAGCACATGTTCGCAGCACCCAGAAATCAAATTTCCATCTAATCTCGCCCCATCATTAACAAAATTCCCCTTCTAGGCAGGTGGCTATATATTAAAAGGCCTATGGATAGCACCTCGACCGTTCTCGTATGTGAAAATTTCCTAGAGTGGATTGCTCTGGTGACCCGGGCTGACCATCATTGATATCTTGGCAGCATGCTCTCATGATCCTCTCTATTGCATCGGGCAGTTGCATCCCGTCTCGTACCAGCCGGGGCGACGACAAGTTGAATCTGCTGGACTTCCTCGGAGGAAACTTCTCCTCGGACCCGGGCGACTATTCTGCGCCTCTACTACTCTGGGGTCGTTGACACCTTCTGAATTACTTATCACTCTTACGGTTCCCAGTTATTCCTTATGTCTGGGTAGATACAATACCCCCTCCATCCATTGTTTGGATGCCCTAGTCTCGTCTTCTCACTGTTCATTCTTTTAACTCTTGGTGGGAGAGGTAGGAAAATACCATCCGTCAACATCATGGTGGCCTTGCGGCGATTTCTTTTGGGTCTCGGGGCTCTTCTGAGCCTGAGTCCCAGCACTGTTTTTGCTGTCAAAATGCTCTACGACGACAGCCTTCCTGAGGATCTCGATGCGGCATGTTCTGCAGCCCTCATGGCTGATGTCGCTTGCGACCCTCTCGTGCCAGCCCTCCGCCATGACTTCTTCTACCCTCCTGCCACGCTGACTCGCATGTGTACTGCTGGGTGCACTTCTGCGCTCCAGTCATGGGAAAGCTCAGTTCGGTCCACCTGTGGTAAAGACCTTGTCATTTCCGATCTTGACGCATCACCTATCATGTTGCCGGCCAGCCGCCGGTACATCTTTGATTTCACATGTCTCAAGGAAAACAATGCCTTCTGTGGCCCGGTTGCGGCCTTGGCCACTTTCTTCGCGAATCCTGGAGGTGAGTCTATCGCCCCGTGCAACAGCTTCTACATGATGCGATTGCCAATTTCAGACTCGCTAGCACATCATTACTAACAGCATGCCAGTATCCGCCTTCAATTATATTAATGAACTTCCCCAGGGCGCCACTCAGCCCAAGGATTGTGACCCGTGTCTCGCAGCCAGGCTGCGCATGCGCTCTGGGTCGCCCTACTTTGACGGTCCCGTCGTGGCCAGCGAGTCCATGTACCAAACCCTGACGTCCAGCTGCGGCATCACGGGTAAGCCTGCTACCACGTCTACCATTGACTATTTCACCGGCCAGCCGGAACCCACCGAGTCTGTCTGCGATGGCGACATGTACCAAATCCAGGGAAGTGATGACTGCTACAGCATCTCCAAGGCCCAGAGTGTCGGTACTGCCTGGATGCTGTCCGAAAACCATCTCGCTGCTTATTGTTACGAATTCCCAACTTCGGGAAGTCTCTGCATCACCAACACGTGCAAGACTGTTACAGTGGAAGTCAATACGACGTGCAAAGCCATAGCTGCAGCTGCGAAAATTACAGAGCCACAGCTGCTGGCTTGGAATCCTGTCATCAACCCGGTCTGTTCTAATCTCGACATGATGAACGGCACTACGCTCTGTATCGAACCACCCGGGCCCAAGCTGCCACCCGCCCAGACGACGAATGTTCCTCCGGTGACGCCTACCTCCGCTGCTCCAATTCCTTCCAATACCGCCATTGGATCTAACAAGCCATGCGGCCGCTGGTACGAGGTCGAAGCTGGTGACTACTGCAACTTGGTGACTCTCAAGTTTGCCATCTCTCTTAACGACTTCATGTTCCTCAACACAGGCATCAACTCCAACTGCACCAACCTCTTCGCTCATGAGAGCTACTGCATCCAGGCGGTTGGAGACATTAACAGCTATCCTGGCCGTCCCGGATATGTCTCCATCACCTTCGACCCCAGCGCGTCCTTCACCGGCGTTCCTTTCACTATGCTACCCAACGCCACCATGACCCTAGATCCACGACCGACCCAGATCCCACTGGCCACCGGCGTCCGCGATGACTGCGCTTTCTACTTCAAGGGCGATGAGTACCAGTACTCATCTGACGTGTTCGGCTACTGGAATAGCAACTGCGAAATTGCAGCATCCAACTTCAACGTCGATTTTGACAGCTTCGCGGCCTGGAACTCGCTCACAACAAACGTCACTGATCCAGCATGCGCATTCCAGGTTGGCCTACGGTACTGTGGCTCCTGGGGTCCGGAACCCACGCGATCCACCACCACAGCGCCCGAGCCCACGGGTACTGGGCCCCAGCCCCCAGCTCCCACACACGAGGGCCAGCCGACAGATTGTGACGGCTGGCATGTCGTATCTGGCAGTGACTCGTGCCAGTCCGTCGCTGATAGTGCCGGAATCTCTCTTGCAACATTCCTTGAATGGAACCCTGCCGTCAGTACTGACTGTACCGCGAACTTTTGGCTCGGACAAGCGTACTGTACTCACAGACAGGGCCAGGGAGTTAGCATCACAAGCTCTGCATCGAGTACAACGTCAACAACAGCCAAGCCTACTCCTCCGGCTCCCACACACACTGGCCAACCTGCCGACTGCAACAAGTGGGATGTCGTTGCAGAAGGCGATAGCTGTGGCTCCCTCGCCAGTGACAACGGCATTTCAGTCGACCAGTTCTTCGCCTGGAACCCTGCCGTTTCCAAGGACTGTATCACCAACTTCTGGCTTGGCCAAGCCTACTGCGTCGGTCGATCCAGCGTTGGCGGTAGTACCCCTACCAAGACGACGTCGCCAACATCGACAGCGAAGCCGACACCGCCCGCGCCAACACATACCGGCCAGCCGGCTAACTGCAATAAGTGGGATGTTGTGCAGACCGGTGATGGATGTGCGTCCATGGCGAGTGATAATGGCATCACGGTCGATCAGTTTTTTAGCTGGAACCCTGCTGTTTCGAGGGATTGCGTGACGAACTTCTGGCTTGGGCAGGCGTACTGTGTTGGTATTTCTGCCTAGACACAGTCATTGAGACTTGTTTTATGATGGAAGTTTTTACATAGAGCTATGGGATTGATTGTTTCGTGAAGACTTAGATACAGGGGTGAAGCTGCCTGACTGCATGTAAGGGTATTGCCGTCACCCAGCTATATAGGGGAAGACTCGCTGTTTCCCAGCAAGTCGCGTCCAGACGTAGATCTATACTTGTCCCACTCGAAACCAAGCCACTCCTGCCTTCCTAAGCTTTCGAACAAACTCATGACTTCCTCGCTGGGTCTCCAGTCGCCAACCTGCCACTGCACCACCGGCGGTGTTAGTTCTTGACCAGCGGCATCGTCGGCCTTCTGCCTCTTGTTACCACGCCCAGCAATGAACTTGACGCCCCATCTATGACCGTTTTTCATTGGAAGGTCATATTTCTCCACTTCTCTGTCCTCTGAAGGGTCCCACCACAAGTGCGTGAAAATCTCTGCTTCCTCGAGGCTCGGCATATTATCACGAGTCAGTGACTTTGCAAATGATGCAAGCAGAGGCTCGATCCGCTCCCTGCAGGGCTCAACACGGAACATATTCAAATCGTAATCGTACTCGTCGTCCGGGTTATCGCCATACTCAGAGTCGAGGTTCTCATCCTCCTCCGTGTCGGTTTCGCGGGGGTAATGTTCTGTGTCTGAGATCTTGTAGCCTCCTTGTTCAGAGTCGTGTGGATCTTCGCCATCAGGGCCGACAAAGTACCACCGCCCGTCGGGGCGAAGCGAATGGAACTCGAGCCGGAATCGCCGCATCTGTGTCCACTGCTGGTCCTCTGGCGCCTCGGGACTGGGAAACATGTCCGGAGTGACCATAGCACGCACGTCAAACAGGCTTAGCTGCGCACCGAGCTTGCACAGGCCGATAGAGACCGGATCTTTCTCCGCGGGATGAATCAGGTTCGGCCGTGCCACGGACTCGTCATGCTTGGGGCGCGAGAAGAAAGGCCAGAAGTGCAATGCGGCTCTGGTCAGACTGGTCGGGATGCTCTTGCCGCCAAGGTACTTCTTTTGGTCCATGATGGCAGCGCCGAATTCGTGGCGGGCATCTCGGAGGGGGCCCTCCCATGGCCAGGTGTAGTGCTCGCGCATCACCCTACTTGGCATAGAGGCCGGCATAGGCCGCTCCCATAACCAGGGGGCATTCCATTCTTGGACAGCTGGCAGGTGGACAAGGCACTGTAATGGCACGAGGGGAGATAGAGGACGTATGTCTGTCGCATTCTCGGCGCCGGAGCCGTACGATCTTGACCTGATGGCCAATTTGCTCACAAAGGGAAGATCTGGTAGTGTCTCGGGGTCCTGCAGCCTCAGGCGGCGCGAGTGATACCTGCGATGGTGGCAACTTGGCTTCTCTGGGTCAAATTTCTGCGGCTGAATTTCGACCTTGATGGCGATGGTGACTGGAGGGTCCTTAGTCTCGTTGTAGGCAGCGGCAATCTGCTTATAGAAGGCATGAATGCGTGCCGACAAGTGGGCGCTGACAGCATTGGTCTCCTCAATAGGTTCATGGCATTCCAGTGGCTTCTCTGCATCTTCATCGACGAGGAGGAGCGGCAGTGGGAGATCATATTGGCAAGTTCCGAATTTTGCGTCTAACGCTGCTTTGGCCTGTTCGAGAATCTCATTCTCGAAATCCGGGTCCGTCTCGCGAAGCGGCATGTTGATTGATACAATATTGGGAATTAGTATTGGAGGGGACGCGGAGTGGAGAGTAGCGGGAATGACTATTATATACTTAGCCGGGTGGGGGTCCCCTGTTCGCTTCCATCTTAGCCTGAGCTTGCCTCTTGAAGGCGTAGAAGGATCGCTCGTAAGTGGGTCCATTACAACAGACCCACTTAGCGATCGGCTTTGTAAGAAAACTCATTCTTCCGATAGAAAACTAATCACTTCTGTCTTCTACACTCATTTGGTAGATGCTCTTTGTTTGCGAGTGACCTGACACATACTGGCGAAGACGGTCAGTAGAACGTACCTCTTCACCCCAAATAAGTCATCTTTGGATGGCGGTAATGCGTTTCGATGTTGCAATTGGTATGAATTAAACAATGACTTACCAGAAAAAGTTTGATGTTCTTTATGTATTCCTGACATTGAAGTTTTATCAAGATATGTTGAATATACAGCTATAATCTCATTGGAGTAGGTGGCACCTGAATTCTGGACTGTTTGTTGCGACTAACTCATATCGCTTATCTCCGGGGTGTAACGGCGCTGGAATCAAGCATAGATTACAGCCTGATATTACCAAGCTGTACAGTTGCACAAACTTCATACCATAGGCCACCTGGGTGTTACTCAACCGGAGAAGTGCTTCAAAATGGTGGATACACCCCACAAATCAAAGCCGTTCTTAGTACTGTAGAATTCACAACGTAAGGCGGCGATATCTAGATGTACCTCTGGACGACTAGAATATTTGAATATACGTAGTCTCAGACTTTGAGGGAGAGCGCGAAAGATCGCTTCAACCATTCCCTGTGGCACAGCGATTGACGTACTACTCCAGGTAAAAAAATTCGAAAACTAGCTGTATGGCATTTCGTTCCTGAACGAGGCAAAGATCAGTCGACCGTGTAGCAATTACATGTTGGTGCTACTCTCTTCATGCTTGCTTACCGGGAAATGATCGCAGCCCTTTCTACTTGGCCCACATACCATCTTCACACAGATTGGTGAAAGCTATGTAAAAAGGCTACTCATAGAGGTAGGTATACTCTACAGCTTCGGATGTGTTCGGTTAAAATTCGTTTTCCCGCTGCTAAAACCAATCTGCTAGTACTAGTCTGGACTCCGTCTAGAACTCTAAGATGGAGATGGAGACGGAACATGGAGCTCCGATTAGGTTCACGTAATACCCGTATATAAGTTTGGTTTTCTGGAAAGAGATTTCGACCAATCGGCATACTAATGAACCTACCCTAGCAAGCGATCCCAAAAGCCGCTGGTACGAAACCTTCAAACTGAAGGTTTACATGTGGATAAGAGGTCAGCACAGCAAAAGTCTTTGCGCATCGAACAACCATAGTTAAGGAAAACAAGGGAAGAGAGAAGACTACTTTCCGAAACTAGAGTTCTACGGTAAGTATATGCAAGCGAGTGATAGCCTATACACTATTCACAATTGTGCGCATTCGCCTTAGACGACTCCTACCTGATTCATCAAGTGCGGTACCACCGAAGTAATACCGAAGCCGTCAGTCTGGCTCCCGCTTATATCTCAGTGGGTATAATATTCAATATTAGAACCTAGTAGTATTACGTGTGAAACGGGTGGTGACATAGATCAAAGTTCTATACGCGGTAGAAAAAAATTAAGAAGTACACCAAGCAGCATCACCACATATATTTAAACGACTGCTGTTCCGTCTCCAAGTCCACACAACACACCGTCAAGTCAACCATATACATTATCGCTTCATTTTTTGGTAAACATCATGGCGCGCTTCTTCCTCTTGCAACCTCTACTCTTCCTCACTTGTATGTTAATCTTGCTCGCGCATATACATACCCAGACTAATGATAGAGTATAGGGATCGCTTGTATATTCGCTAGCCCTCACGATCTTGTAGTCCGGCAGGGCAGCTGTATGTCAACATCATCCGCACGTACGTCTACTTTAGTCCGTAATGGTGCTATTGAAGTTAATGTATGTATATTCCTGTCGAGTTAGGTGCACAACTAACTCAATTAGCTGCGGCCATCTACAACTGGCAGTGAACGACGACCAACTTTCTTTTTGTAAGCAGCTGCTAAGAACATTTAGAGATTGCATACTAATAAGTGCGAAGTCCCAACGGTGAATTTGATCCATTCCGAGTAACTGCTTATCGGAGCCATGGTGGAGGAGGGTGGGACATTCACGTGGGGATTCGAAACGGCCATTCTTTGGTTATTGGTCGTTTGTAAAGTAAGAATTCTACTCTCAACACTTAACGGGCGGATGACTGAACTTTGTAGTTATGCGTTTTAGATGGGCGTTGAATTCACTGACCGGATCTGCGACTATAACCACTGGTCCCCTCAATGAATGTGAAATGTACACTCTAGCGCCAGTGTGGAGCCTTCCGGATGTAAGGGACTCAAGTATAGTTAGAACCGTTCACTCCAGCTAACTCTTAGACAAAGGATCAATATAACCTCTACTGGAATCAGGGTGGACGACAAACAATTGAAGGTACAAATGTGCCATTATTGTCGCTAGTCATGACATGGGAACTTTGGAACGAACCAGGTCAGTGATCCTTTGTGAAGGAAAAAAAGGTGCAGCATTCGTCTTAACGAATCGAGTTCTACCTCTATGCCATGTAGAGTGGTGTATACCACCTCTGGAGGAATAACTAGTGCCTGCAGTTAGAACATGGCCACACTTGTTTGGTATCACGCGAGAGTCTCTCTATAGTATGAGCGAACCAAGTCACCTTGTTTAAATCTGAGGCAATTTTCAGAGATTGTGCACTACACTATTGCAACAAATCATAAGAGACGTGTGATTAAAGTTGATCTTGCACGTTGACTCGTAATACCAAACAGTCTAAAATGACAATAGTAAGCTTAGCAATAGGATTGGAAAAAGTAGCTATTTACACCCAGCTAGAATACACTAGCCATCTGACCATCTCCCCAAATATATACGCGGCTGAAGTCTAAGCCTTCTTACAAAGCGCCAACAAGGGTGTTGTAGGCCTGCTTGGGCTGGTAGTTGGTGTCGAACAAGAGAGGGCGGTCGTTGGCGCGCCAGCTGTCCTTGTCGGAGACACCCCAGACGGTGATACCAACACACTTTGACACGGCAAGACAGCCGTTCATGACGGTGAGGAAGTCGCTTGCTGCGGCGCCGGCGATATCGAGCTCGGTAATGGCAATCTCCTTGACATTGGCGGCGGCCAGTGCCTTGAGGGCGTTGGGGACGCCGGAAGCCGGGTTCCAGCCGCCAGGTGCGGCAAGATGGGCTTGTGTGCCAATGCCGTCAATGGGAATGCCCTGGGAAATCCACTTGTTCACGTGGGCAACCATACCCGTGGTGACCTTGGCGTAGTTGGCACTGTCGAGGTTGTAGTCGTTGATGTAGAGCTTGGCGTTGGGATCAGCGGCGCGTGCGGCGCGGAAAGCGATGCCAACAAAGTCTTCGCCGAGGACACGGCTAAAGACGCTGTCTCGAAGTTGGCCATTCTCGGCGAAGATCTCGTTAACGACATCCCACTGCAAGATCTTGCCCTTGTAGTGGGTGACGATCTCGGTCACGTGGTTCTGGATGACCGTGGTCAGGGTAGCGCGGTCGTTGATTTGCGTGACCCATGTCGGCAACTGCGAGTGCCAGAGGAGTGTGTGACCACGCAGGAGCTTTCCGTTCTGGGTGGCCCAGTTGACGACGTTGTCAGCGTTGGTGAATGTGAACCTACCACGTGATGCTACATACGAAGACGAGTCAGTTTACAATCATCGATTCAGGGTGAAAGAACAAATTCCGGTACTCACGTTCGGTAGCATCCCACTTCAAGCTGTTCTCGTGCGTGATCTGTCCAAAGCTGTTCTTGGCGATCGTCATGAGGGGGGCGTTGTTCAGATGGTAGTGGTCGATTTCAGTGCCGTAGTAAATCTTTCCTTTGGCCTTGAACTTCTCATGCAATCCACCTGCAGCTCCTGAGCCTCCACCACCACCACCGCCGCCGCTGCCTCCACCGTTGCCCCCAGTAGGAGCAGGGCTGCTACTGTCAGTAGTAGTGGGGGCGGGCGATCCACCACCAGTACCAGGAACACATTGGGAGTAGTAATCACTGAAAGGAGTGGTAAGCGAAATATTCAATGAACAATCTCCGCGATGCATCGGAAGGAGCTCTTACTTGACCTTGTTACACACTGAGCCAGAAACGCATGTTGTGGAGCCGCCCCATCCGACACCACCACCTATTCAAAGCAAGATCAGTAAACTATTGCGATCCAAAGGTTATCTTCGAGGAATGACCTACATTGGCCGTACAGGGGAGATTGGCCGAGAACGACAGCGGGGGCGACGACGAGTGCGAGAGTAGAGGCACGCATGATGGTGGCTTCCTGGTACTCGGGAAGATCGATGGTCGAGAGCTAATAAGCAATAGATTCACGACTTTATGAATGGATTTGCTTTCCTCTTATTCCCTTGTCATGACGATGACAGCCAAGACATGGCCAAAGTGTCACAATCAAAATCCGCTTGAATAGAAAGCCAAGAGGGTGGAAGCGGAAGTCGACATATTGGGAAAGTTGGAATCCCACGAGTAATGAGGCGGGGTACATGCTTCCTATACTACGCCAAGGCTCCGTCCCTCTTAAGTCCATTGTTTTCATCAATAACGAGATGGCACATGGGCAGAGCGAAGTGGAAACGCCCGACCCCGAGTCCCCAACCCTAGGGCCGGACTTTGGTCTTCAACTCGATGTGTATCCGTGATCCGAGTGTGTGGGCAGACGTTACAACACAATTACTGGTCGAGTCCACGAATGACATGTCTACGAATAACAAGGGTCCATATATATGTTCATTTGCGGCGACTCGAGGTTGATGAGGAGAATTATATTAACTGACCAATACCATTACCCAGACATCACAAATGTGCGCTGATCTAATATGGTTACACGGAGCCAACTGCCGCATGGGTTGTCGCTCTGCTTGGCGAATTCGTTCCTGACCGTAATACCTTTGACTGGTAAGTAGACCGATCATGCTAGAGGTACTTGAGTTAGAATGAGCAACAGTCGAAGGAGAAATCCGACACCTAACGGGATCGGCATCGGGACTAACGTCCATCCCTCCGTGGCGCAAATCCCTGTGTGCCGCAATCGGCCAATCAGCTCCCAAGTTTTAGGAA